CAAGCTGACCTCCAAACACACAAAAAAACCCTGTTAAAAAAAAAAAAAAAAAAAAAAAAAAAAAAAAAAAAATCTATCTATCTACCTACCTACCTACCTACCTACCTATCTTTGTTCTTTTTTTTTTCTGCAGTGCTGTGTACTGAACTCAAGCTCTATCCATGCTAGGCAAGCATTCCACCACTGAGCTATCTACATCCACCTCCAGCCGTTTCAAACTTTCTCAATTTGAGACAAGATCTCACTAAGTTGCTCAGGTTAGTCCTAAACTTTCTGTTCTCCATGTCAAACTGCTGACTTGTTAAACAGAGAACATTTTAATAGTCTTTCCCCTCCCTTTTCTTTTTTCCCTTCTGAGGCAGGACCTTACATTGCCCAGGCTGGCCTCACACTCACTGAGTAGCCAAGGTTGATTTTGAACTCATGACTTTGAACTTCTTCTGCCCCTACCTCCCAAGTGATGGCATTACAGGTATGTAACATCATGCTTGTTTTATGTGGTCCTGGGGCTGAACCAAGGGCTCTGCGCACTACACAAGCATTCCACCATAGGAGCTACACATGCAGCCCCCAGTTAGCTTCTTGTTAGAAACATTATCTGTTACAAATGTATACTGGGGTGTATGTATTTATAGAGCACACATTCACTAGTGACCACCTGTCTCCTAACGTTCACCATCTGTGATAACTGTTAATATGGACAGTGCAGGGTTTACTTACAACTCGGAACTGTTCTAACTTCTGGTTGCCTTTGATAAAGAAAGGGCATTCTTTGTCGCCTGTTCGATGGCCATACCTTTTGCAACGCCAACCTAAAGCCAAAGAAAAACAATTCCATAAAATATATTTCATCTCATTGAGATAATGTTTCAGTAGATTCAAGTTTCAAATTAGACTCCAACTCTAGAACACAAAGGATTAACGATGAAAACACAAAGGTCCCAGGAAATAATGAAGGGTAACTCATTGCTTCCTGGAGTCTTATGAACTTAGGAATAAATGTTCCATCATCAAATAATTATGAGGCAATCCAAGACTCTTAGTGTGTTCCACTCCAGTTTGGAGTACAGCAGGGGCTGGACAGAGGGCCAGCTGATTCCCAGCACCCACACAACCATTGCAGGTGGCTCACAACCATCTGCAACTCCAGTTCCAGGGGACCCGGGGCTCTTTTGGCTTCCACGGGCTGCTGCAGGAACTCATGCAAGCACACATGCACATAAAAGCAATTCAAAGGGAAGGAGATCCTTTTTATTTGTGAAACGGCTCTGCTTCTAAGGGCTAGGGGTTGAGTTAGTGAAAGAGAATGGCTTTGCATGCTCAAGGCTATGGGTAAAATCTCCAGCTTCACTACCACAGCGTCTTTCTTAGGCTGGGTAAACCATGTACAAAGTCGCCCCCACCCCCAGGTACAGAGTCCAGGCTCCAATTTCTAGACTTAAGTGACACTTGCCTCTGAAGTGCTAGGGCTTGGAGGACACACTATTATATCAAGCTTCATAGAACCTCATTTTTTCCTGTTTTAAAAGACAGGGTCTCACTGTGTAGCCAAGGTTAGCCTTAAATCCAGAGACCGCCTGCCTCTCACATGGATTAAAGGCACATGCCATAACACCTGACCTTGTTTGTTTTTTTAAAAAAATATTTTAAAATTATGTGTGTATGTATCTGAGTGTAGGTTTGTACATGTGCGTGCAGTGCCTGAAGAGTCCAGATGAGGGTGTGGGATGCTCTGGGTGGTTGTGAGCCACCTGATGTGGGTGCTGGGAACTGAACTATGGCCCTCAGCAAGAGCACTATGCATTCCATGCTGAGCTGCTTCTCCAGCTTGAGCCTCACTCTTAAACAAAACAACAGATTCTCTTAAAATGCAGTATCATTAGCACCACACAATTTAACCTGAAAGACAGAGAAACTGTTGGTTAGTTTAAAGAGGTTTTTGGCCCTGAGGAATTGACGTAGCAAACACATAAACACATGCTTCAAGTCAACACAAGCAAGCATGCAACTCGAAGGACTTCACTGACTGTTACTTGGCATTAGGTTTGGCAACCTGAGGAATGTGAAACAGCCATGAGGTCCCTGTTGTTGAAGATTATTTTAAGAACTGTTACTTTTTGTTTATGCTGCATCTGTTTAACTTTGTGAGCTGTGTTTCTGTGACTGTCTAAAACACCTGATGGTCTACTAAGGAGCTGAACGGCCAGTAGCGAGGCAGGAACAAGGATAGGTGAGGCTGCCAGGCAGTGAGGATAAATAGGAGAAACGAGGAAGAGAGCGAACAACAGGAGAACAAGGAGAGGACGACATCAGGGGCCAGCATGGAGTAAGAGTGAAGGTAAGATATACAGAAATAAGGAAAGGAAAAAGCCCAGAGGCAAAAGGTAGATGGGATAATTTAATTAGCTGGCAAGAAACAAGCCAAGCTAAGGACAGGCATTTATAAATAATAAGCCTCAGTGAGTGACCTATTTGGGAGCTGGGTGGCAGCCCCCTTCCAAAAAGAGCCAAAACAGTAAAACATCACACTCCAGATAAAAGTCAAATCAGATGCAGGGTGTTGGTGAGCCAAGTGACAACTGTACTTAAGTGTTGACCAAGGAGGTCAGGAAGCAAGAATGGGATAAAGATGAGCTGATGTGGTCCACACTAGCAACTACAGAAAGCATGCTATAAAAGTGAGTGATGGTCCTCTGTGGCATGTGCACGTGTGTATGAGAGTGCACGACTCATGTCAAGGCCAGACAGGAAGTCACGTGCCTTCCTCTGTCAATTCTCTGCCATATTCCCTTCAGACAGGGTTTACCACTCAATGTTTGGGCCAGGCTGACAGGCCAACAAGCTCTCAGGATCTGTCTCCACCATCTAATGTTGGGGTTTCTGGCACACTGGAGCTACAGACGTGGACAGCCTCTTCCACCATTTTACATGGGTGTTGGGGATTCTTGTCCTCACATGAACCCACCACTTTAACTCACAGGAAGAGACATACCTAGAATCCTAGTACTAGGGAGGATGTGGAGGCCTACTGAGTTCCAGCTAATAAGTGCTGTGGCAAGGGATCCTGTCTCAACCTCCCCTTCACTCATCCTAAACAGCCTCAGGAAGAAGGACCACATCCTAAACCAATGCTATATGTCAGCAAGACTCAGGGCATGAGAGATGCCAAGGGGCATGGCTGGATATGCACACATCCCAGTGCATATTACTTTTGCTCAAAATTATCTTAAACTGAAGGTGATGAGCTGCCATAGGTGCAGACCTGTAGTCCCCAACCCCAGGAAGCTGACACAACAGGATGGCTAATTTAAGAGTACCATGGCCTGTATAAGGAGATGGTATCAAAACAACAACAAAAACAACAACAAAATGCTGATCCTTGTCATTCCAAGTGTGGCCCACAGTAAAAGTGACAACATGGGAGATGCTATCAGTAGTGCATTCCTAGGACCCCCTCAAAGTATGAATGAACAACCTGAATGCAGAGCTGTACTGGCAGATCAAGGGACTAGTGACAGACAGCTCAGCAGCAGAGGGAACACTTTGTACCAGTGAGATTCTGTAGCACAGAGAACACAAAGAGACAGTAAGAGATGGGATGGGGTCGGGGAATGTGATCTGCAGGCTTGGCAGTTTGAGAACCAATTTTCTATTATTTTTTCAATATTTTGTTATTATTTTATGTGCATAGGTGTTTTGCCTACATGTCTGTCTGTCTATATACCACATTCATGTCTAGTGCCTAGGGAGGCCAGAAGAGGTCACTGGATTCCCTGGAACTGGAGTTATAAGCGGTTGTGAGCTGCCATGTAGGTGCTGAGAATGGAATCCCAGTCCTCTGGAAAAGTAAAAATAATAATAGAAAAACTGGTTTGAATGAGAATGGCCCCCACTTGGTGGAACTGTCTGGGAAGGATTAGGTGTAGCCTTGTCATTGGGGTTGGGCTCTGAAGTTTCAAAAGCCCACGTCATTCCCAATTAGTTCTCTGCTTCAAGCTTGTGGATGAGACATGAACTCTCAGCAACTGCCCCAGAACTATATCTGCCTACAGCATGATGTCCATAGCCTCACTCTCTGAAGTAAGCCCTGAATTAAGCACTTTGTTTTTGAGTTGCCTTGTACATGTGTTTTATTAGGGCAACACAAAAGCAAGACAAACAGCCAATGCTCTTAGACTAGAGAGCCATCTCTCCAGGTCCAGAACCACTTAACACCAGAGCCAAGGAATGTTTGCAGGTTCCTGTACATGCGTGGTCTGCTTTGTAGGACCTAAAGCCTCTATCACTTGAAGAAGTGGGTAAATGGTTGTGAGGAAACAAACACAAAAACATCTTCCCTTCAGAAACTGTACATCATCATATGCAAATATGGGCAAGAACACATTGCTGGGGACACCATAGGACTCCTGGCAGTCTATAAACATGGCATCAGTGGTAATCCAATTAATGAAGAATAGGCACAGAGGTCCCTCAAGATGGGCCAGGGGATAACCTTCATAATTCATTCTTTTTTGTTTACTTATTCTATTTCTATGAGTGTTTTGCCTGCTTGTATACTACATGTGTATCTGGTGTCCTCAGAGGTCAGATAAAGTACCCGAGCCTCTGAACTGGAATTACAGACTGTTGTGAGCTATTATGTGGGGCAGCAAGGTGCTTTAATTGCTGAGCCATCTCTCAAGCCCCAATCTGTTCTTTCTTAAAAGTAGTGAGAAGTTCTAGGCCAGCCTCAAACTATAGAATGGAAGTCTATCTCCCAACAAACAAACAAACAAACAAACATACATACATACAGACATAGGGACTAGAGAAAGGGCTCAGCAGTTAAGAGATCTTATTACTATTGCAGATGACCTAAGTTCAGTTCCTAGCTACCATGTTGGGCAGCTCATAACTGTAGTTTAAGGAAACACATGCACATAATTAAAAATAACAAAAATAAATTTGAGAGCCCTGGAGGGCTGGCTCAGCAGTTAAGATCAGATACTGCTCTTGCAAAGGACCCCAGTTTTGGTTCCTAGCACCTACGTCAGGTAGCTCAACTACCTCTGTCCTTTCAGGGCATCTGCAATCACATACATGCCCCCTTACCACCACACATATACACATAATGAAAAATAAATCTTTAAAAAATTTTCTAAACAAGTAATGAAAATAGTAGCATTTGTCCAAAGCAACTGTCTTGATCTAAATTACTCACAGGCTTTTCACTGTGAGGAAACAAACAAACAAAAAAACAACAAAGAAAATCTTTATTCAAAGGTAGCTGGCCTATTGAGGTTAATATTCCACAAACCAGTCCCATTTTGTGAAACTTGTAAATTTTTGTTTTATTTTATGTTGTGTTGGCATCATAAGGTTTGTGGACCATGTGCATGAAGTGCCTGTGCAGGCCAAAGACCTGGATCTTCTGGACTGGAGCCTTTGGGCCCCAGGTGGGTGCCGGAAACCCAACTCTGGGCCCTCTGTAAGAGGGTCAGGTGCTCTCACTGCTGAACCACTTCTCCAGGCCCCACGGGCATTCATGTCTTAGTCTGGTAGAATTTATCCAAAGACCTTGCAAGAACACCAGGAACTTGATGAGCCCCAGCTACTGTTCCCTCCGACTCCTTCATTTCCTTTATTTCTGTTCTTAAAACTAGCCAATCACGAAAGCCTGTGCTGTCGCACTCCATCCAGTGGGGGAAAGGCACAGTCATACCTGCATTAGAATACAATCAAGCACACTTACTGCCACAGTATGTCTGTAGTCTGGCTTAGGCCATGGGACACTTTTTTTAAAAACAGAAACAACCTTACTGAATTACTTTCCCTCTGTTCCTGTTTCTTTGGGTGACACTGAATATCTGCTTCCAATACAACAATGTAAGGAATGTTATTTCCAGAAAATCCACCCAGCCTGGGTGAAGAGTGCCACTTCTGGTGTCTGAACTGGGCGACTCACAGTGTTCTTGTCCTAGGTCACTAACAGTCTGAATGAGATCTAAGCTCCTTAAAAAGACAGAGCCACATCACTGTTTGATCAGCTCAGAGATCCCTGGGAAAGCCACACCTATAAGTTACTTGCCTAGGCACATCATTCATTCTATAGAAATGACAACTTTTTGGAATATTGGCTGAAAATAATGGCTTATTTAACATCCAGCCCCTGCTGGCTAGTTTTATGTCAGTTTAATACAAACTAGTCATTTTGGAAAAGGGAACCTCATTTGAGAAAATGTCTCCTGTAAGCAAGTCTGTTGGGAATTTTCTTGATTGATAATTGATATAGGAGGACCCAGATAGCTGTGGGTAGTACCCTCCTCTGGGCTGGGCTGGTGGCACAGGCCTGGGTGTCGGAAGCAGGCTGAGCAAGCCAAGGAGAGCAAGCCAGTAAGCAGCATTTCTCCATGGCCTCTGCATCAGCTCCAACCTCCAGGTTCCTGCCCTGTTTGAGTTCCAGGCTTGACATCCCTCAAAGAAATTTGTGATTTAGGATATATAAGCCAAATAAACTCTTTCCTCCCCAAGGAAACTAAGACACATTGTCAGGCTGGTTATCAAGAGGGCACACACACAAGAACCCCATCAGATGCTTATGGGAACCACCGTGGGGCTGGTACACTCAAAAGAGACTTTCACAGGTCCTGAGTGTGACCCTGGTCATCTAGAGCTGTGTATGTGTCTGGGAAGATCCCAGACACCCATTTTCTGTGTTACCTGGGGCATGGGCAGATAGGTTTTTAAAGGCAGAGGACAGCTGAGTGTGATGATGAACATCTGTAGTTCTAGCCACTCAGAAAGCTACAGCAGGAAGATTAGACAACACAGCAAGGCCTGACCAGAAGAGGAGGGCAAGCTGAAGCAGAGATCTAACCTGTGTCAGCTCTGAGGAGGCATGTTCCCATCATGCATGCATGGCACAAATGCAGGTGTTTATGTGCGTACACACACACACACTACACATACACACCCACACTCACTACACATACTCACACACTACAAACACACACTACACACACTCACACACCACGCACACACACACACACACACACACACACACACCACACACACTCACAT